CTCAGCAAAAAAGAGGAGGATTAGCATGGATGTTAGCTCAGGGCTGATCTTCCTCACACACGCAAAAAAAAAGATCTGGCCCATGGTCAAGTTAACTGCTTTTCAGATTGACAGCAAGGAACACAGAATTGTATTTGCATTTGTAAGCCCATGCCTGATTTTACGTCGTCCCCACAGCAACCCTGGCTGGAGGGGCTTCATGTTCCCATTTCACAGATGGGAAATTTGAGGCACAGAGGAAAGAAGTGACTTATCCAAGGAGAGAGATAAAGAAAAAGATAAAGAGAGTATCAGAGGGAGGCCAAAGGAGACAAAGAGACAGGGACAGAGGACTCTCTCTCTCTGTCACCCCCAGCATGTCTGCCCCCGGCCTCATCGCTAGTCAGAGACAATTTGATGGACACCATGCCCCTTGGCTCTTCTCTTCTCCAAGGTACAAGCCTCCATCTTTCCAGGCTCAGGACAGTTTCATTCGATGGCTGTGGTGGCTGAGCCCCCAAAGGTGGCAGGAGGCCCAGACCCAAGGGCAGGGGCTCCAGGGTGGCCCAAGCCCATGACTCTCCAGAAGTCCAGCAAACTCTTTTCCTAGTGCCCAGGACATTGGGCAGCCCATCCTTACCTGGGGCCCAGCTGCCCGCTCGCAGCTGCCCACCAGCCTGGGTGCAGCTGCCACCTGCTCGGAGGGCTCAGGAAACCGGGGTCGCGGGTCCAGGACAATCTGCAGACACACGTCCCCTCTTCCTCTGTCTTGCTCTGAGGCTTGCTTTGGGGGTCTCTCTGGGTCTTTCCGTTTTTCACCGTGTGACTCTCTGTCTCCCTCTCGGTCTCTCCCTTTCTTTTCTGCCCAGGGCGGTTGGCCGGCTGGCCGGCACTGCTGCCCTCCTCTCCCCACTCCAGAGCCTTCCCCCAGGAGGCGGAGTCGGAGGGGCCTCTGAGGTCCGGGTGCCATGACATCAGCGTGGGGGGCGGGCTGTGCTGCCCAGGGCTCTGTGCAGAACACTGGCCGCCCAGCAGGGACACAGGGGCCCTGGGGTCTCTCTGGGCTGTGCTGCTGACCAGCATGGGACCCAGGCCCTGGCTGCCTGTCCCAGCCTCAGCTGCCTGCTGTCATTTGCAGTCACACCACCTGTTCTCTCAGCACCTGGGCAGGAAACCTCATTCTGGTCCTGATTTGGTGACTGACTTGCTGAGTCTCGACCCCTGCCTGCCCTCCACCAAGCCCGTTTTCTCCTCTGTAAACGGCTGTTTCAGACTCTGTGAGGAAAGGACCAGGCAGGGCAGAAGGTAGCAAGCTCCGCATTCTGGCCCCCTTCTCCCCTGTCCCTATACATACACCACCCTCGCCCCAGACCACTTCCCAAGGGCTGCCCTCAGATGTCCCCTAAAGCTCATCCCTTCACCACCACCCCCACAACCCGTTCTTGGTGCAGGGAGGTGCGGCTTGTCCGTAATATCCAGGAAACTTTCTCAATCCAGCTGACTTGGAGCCATCCTGCATGTACAAGGGACACACACCAACTGAAGGGAAATATGTGATTTTAAAGTGGGGTGGGGAGGGGGATAAACAAGGAGTAAACAAAACCCTTGTTATTAGCTTTGGCAAAGACAGTAACATCGAGGACTCCTTGCTGAGAGAGACCTGGCACGTCCTCGTCACCATCCTTTGCCACGGCCACCCTGGCAGCTGCCCCATCAGTGCAGGCCTCTCCAGGGGCAGCTCTAGGCCTGGGCAAAGGGACCTCCAGCCTCTGTAACTGGGGTGTGTCTGCCGGGAAGGGGGTGGCGTGGGGGGCCCAGGAGGGCCGAACAGCCCAAGTGCGCCACCTGCTGGGCTCAGGCATGGCTGCATGCCAGTGCCCCCATGGGAGCGAGGCTGAGCATGCAGCCTCTGCCTGGGGCAGCAGAAGGGAAGCAACAGTGCCAGGGCTTAGCCTCTGCTGGGCCCGGGGCTCCGCCTGACCCCACAGTCCTGACCCCTGAAGGCCCCTGGGTGCTGGACTGTGCTTGGCCGGGTGGCCCTGACAGGAGTTGCTCCCGAACACTGTCCCCACTCCTGGACTTGTGCCTGCCGTTGACACTTGGTCCCTCCCACTCCTCCAATCACCTCACTTTGCCGAGCCTCTCCGGCTGGTGGTGTCAGCCCCACACAGACAGGAAAACCGAGACCGGAGAGGACCATGGTGCCAAGGCAGAACGCAGGTCTGAGCTGGGAGGGAAGGGCGTGGAGTGGCGGGGAAGTTGGGGGGTATGGAGTGAGCTCCAGACACCATAACAGCTACAATCTACTCAGCACCCATAAGGGCCAGGCAATACACTAAATGGGGCACAGAATTCATAACATCCTTTTCTCATAGTCCTACAGGGAAATCTAGGAATTGGCCTTAATTCATTTTTTTTCCCCTCACTCCTCACCCCAACCCCATCATCAAGTTCTGTCCACTCTCCCTCCAAAATCTAACCCCACCGTCTCTCCCCACTGCCACCCCTGGCTTCAGGGCTCGAGCGCCAGCATCTTCCCGTCAACAGCCTCCCATCTGTCTCCCCACATCCACCCGTGCCCCCCCAAGGCCACCTCCTCTTTCCGTGGCCCCTCATGCGGCTGCCTTCCACAATTCCATCTCACAAGTGCATCAGGGGACAGGCCTTCCTTGCCCTGGCAGGCTGAGAACCCCCAGTAACTCCCACACTGCTTCCCCAGGAATCCTCTGCGTGGTGTTCGTCAGGATCAGAGTATTTCTATTGGTCTCCCCCACTAGTTTGTTGACTGCCCCAGAGCAGGGACCGTGGCTGGTTCCTGACAGCCCCAGTGCCCAGGACGGGGCTTGGGACGAGGCCATCGAAGGAATGACTGAATGATGCTGGTGATCTCTGCTCACAGATGCACGGGACAGGCAGCAGGGTGCGGCCTCAGCCGTAACCCCTCATGCGTCCCTCTGACCAGAGAACAGTCACCCAAGCCTGGGAAACATTCCCTCCACTGTCCCTTACCCCCAGAGGGACAGACAGACACAAGAAGTCTTTCTGGGATTGTGGTAATGTTTATTCTGAGAACAGAACAGGTCTCCGCTCCACTGACCCCATGGTGGGCCCTGAGGGGAGGGAAGCCCAGATTGGGTGGTGTGGACCGGAGGCCCCACCCATCTGCAAATGGGGACTCTGCGGCCTCCATGGGCTGAAGGGTCCATCTGAACAGAGCAACTGCTCTCCCCACCCATCCTCCAGTCCCAGCCTGGAAGAACTCATCCTCACCTGCCCAGTGCCCAGGGCCGCACAGCCAGGAGCCAGCCCGGCCCACCCAGAGGGGCAGGAAGCAAGGGCAGGGCTGCAGGACTGGTTCTGTTGGTGGGGAGGCAGTGCCCAGACCCCAGGCTGAAGCCCACACGGGTCTGCCAGGTAGTCCTGGTTTGTCCCGTAGCCCAGGTGGACAAAGAGCAAAGACCCATGTGTGGGCCCCAGAGGCCCCAAGCTGGCTTACCCGCCCCCCCACCTCTTCACCCCAACTCCGGGGTCTCCATTTGAAACAGCCATCGAGAAGTGGTGATTACATGAGTGTATAGAGTGTGTACGCATACAGAGATACATAGAGAAAGGGTGTGGTTTTGCCCTTATTCAGCACTTGTTAGTAAGAGTGCCGACAAGCAAGAATCATTGGCCCCACTTTGCAGAAGGGGGAAATTGAGGCACAGGAGGTTTAAGTGACTTGCTCCTGGTCATGCGCAGAGTCCTGGCCCCAGGCCCACATTCTCGGGGGAAAGTCCTGGCTTTTCAAGAAGGAATCCTCTTGTCCTCCTGTTGTTTAGTCCCTGGCCTCTCAGGACATAGGAGCAGAGCTGGCCATGGAGTGAGGAGGAAAGTCAAGGATCCAGCACTTCCGGCCAGACACTGGACCAAACAGCCAGATCTGGAGCCAAAAGCTCAGGTTCCCAACAGGAATTCCCAGCAGGGCCACAGGCATTCCGGTTCTTGAACCAACCAGCCTTTTTCATTGGTGTCACCTGGTCTGGAGCCCGAGAGGACACAGAGGAGACCCCCCAGCGGGTCACAGCGCCAACTGTCACCAAGAACACAGGCGGAGCCAGCTCACAAAACATGGGAGTACAGACCACCCTCTTCCTCATCCACCTGCAGCCCTCCTCTGAGAAGGTGCGACCTCCCCTCGTCCTGCCCCAAGAGGAATCAACATAAAAGCAGAGGACCACAGGAACTGGAGTTTAAGAAGAAAAAGGGGCTCAGGCTTTCAGTCTTCCTTTAAAAACCCCTGGTTAAAACTGAGAGTTTTAAAACAGAAAGAATATAAAACGTTGAGGACTAAAAGGAACATTTTGGTCCAGGCAGCAAAAAGAGGGCTGTGGCCTCTTTGGCTGCGTTTTGGGGGGAATGTTGGTGGAGGGGCCTCTGGTCAGGCAATGGATTTACCTCTCCTGCTGAGCCCAGTGGGTGACCTGAGCCCGGCAGGCCTGAGACCTCCAGCCCAGAGGCCCTTCTCCCAGGAAAAGCCCAGGTCTTGTAGCAGAGGGGGCCTGGCAGCATGTCCCACTCCCACCCGCCCGGCCCCTGGCCCGCTAAACCAGGCACACTCCTTCTGGCATCACAGCAGTGGAGGCAGGAAGTTGCCCTTCCTCTCCACGCTGCCATCACCTCTCCAGGGACCTTAAACTAGAGGCTGCAGTGAATCAGAACCTGGAATGAGAAGGAGCCACAGCTCCTCCGGGCATCTCGGCACCCGCCTCTGAGAGGACCTGAGAGCAGAGGTGAGGCCCAGCACAGATGCCGGGTCTCCAGAGCTGCAGGGAGGGGCCCAGCTCCACTGGGGGGCTTATGGGCATCATTTACTCATTTGGCAAATCTCTGTTGAATAAATAAATGGATGGGATGAGAGAATGAACGAATGTCACCTGTACATCTCCCAAATTCCAGCCTGAGCAGGAACTCAGCAAGAGCCAAGAGTCCTTTCAAGGTGGCTGGAAAACCAGGTGTCGGTGACAGAGAAAGCAAGGTCTGGGACACTGGGGCAAGAGTGGGGCTGGGGGATGTGGCAGTTTGTGTGTAAACAAGTGACATCTTCTTGGCACTCCGTCGGCAGACAGCAGGGCCTTCGGAAAATGTTTTCAACGGATAGAGTCCCTTAGCAGTAGTGACAGTTGGGGTAAGGAGGGCTATTTTAAATCTCAGGCAAGAAGACTCCTCCATGAGAAGGGGATGCCTTGGGGTCCTCGGGACACTGAGGCCCAGAGAGGTGCAGAGACCTCCCCAGGTCACACAGCAAGTCAGTAGAAAAGCTGGGCAAAGGACCCCAGCGTCCTGGCTCCCAGGGTAGTCCCCGAACTGGTTGGGGACATGCAGGTGGCGGTGAGAACTGTGAGGGCCAGATAGGCGGGCAGGCATCAGATGGCCCTAAGAGAGGCACTGCTGAGTACGTGCACAGCAATGGTGCCCGGCAGGTCGCTGTTGCGGTCTTGGAGCCGGAGGGTGTGCAGGGCCTGGAGGTCGTCTGGATCAGCCTTCAGGTGCACCTGGCCCAGGAACTCGTCCTTCAAGAGTCGGTGGTTCCAGATCTGGGAGGAGACAGAGGATCATGGGGCACATCTCCAAAACCAGCAGTATAAGTGTGTGGGGGTGCCGGCGGGAGTGGCAGGGCCTTGGATCCCCTTCCTGCAGGGCAAGCCTGGCTGAGGAAGAGGAGCCCTGCATCGCCTCTGCCTCACCAGGAACCTCAGGCAAGGCTGTGCCCCTTGTGGAGCCTCGGGCTTCCTCCCATCTGTCAAAGCTCCCTTCCACGTAGAAAGTTAAGTCTGTTATTAGTAGCTCTGCTGTTGACCTTGGGTGACCTTGGACAAGTGATACACCCCCACCCTGGTTTCCCCATCTTTAATATGAAGGTTGGATCAACGGCCCCTAAGGGCCCTTCTAGCCCCGACATCTACGGGTCTGTGATTTGATCCAGTGGGAACCAGTGTTAGAAAAACTTGGAAAACCTACAGTGGCTCCCCCGCTGCACTCAACTGTTTGTTTACAGATGGTTTCTCACCTGAAGAGATGGTAGCCTGGGCCCAAGGGACAGAGGGCTTTCTGCTAATGAGCTCAGAGTTGTTGTCACCGGCCACCTTGGCACGAGAGGGGAAGAGAGCCCATGCCAAGAACCCTGGCTTTCTGACCCCCTGCTCTCAGGAAATAGCCACCCCTGCCATATGCCATCTCAGTGCAACTTTCCCAGGTGGACCCCCTAAGGGGGATTTAAGGAACAATTCCAAAGGCTTTGGGGCAAGGTCAGCACAGATGACCACCATCCCTGGCCAGGAGACTGACCCTGCTGGGTCTCAGAATCACACTGGCCAATCTAACTCACTCACCCACAGAGGGGACGCTGGGGCACCAGGAGGGGCAGGTGAGAGAATTCCCAAGGCCACACCGTGTCAGGGACAGAGCGGGAACTAGACCCCAGCCTTCCTGGGTCCCCGTCAAGGCTCTGTCACCCTGGGCCCTGCCCCTCTGAGTGGGGAAGTGTCCAGATGGGCAGGCTCACCTGAACAGTGATGAGCTGGCCTGGCTTCTTGCGGTAGAAGATGCCTTTCACGTTGTACTCGGGGGTCGAGGTGCCCTTCTGCATAGCCGAGCGGACTTTGTTCCCCTCACACTTGATGATCACGTAAGAGTTTGGCCCTAGAGAGACGGAGTGGGCGATGCGGCGAGGGTGGGGGCTGGGGCAGGGCCGAGATGGGACACATGTCTGGGAGGTGAAATCCCCTGCTGGGAGCAGAAGCCTGAGCTCGTCTATTCAGGAGAAGGGAGACCAGATCCTGACCCGCTTCCTAACTTCCAGAGACAGCAGGGGCACACTGGCAATCCTGGCCTCCAGGCCTTCACCATGCTCTTCCTCCCCTGCCCAGAGCACTTTTCTCCCCTATTCCACTCCACCAGGCTTCATACCGCAACACCTCCTCAGCCTAGAGAAAGACCACCCCCTCCAGGAAGCCTTCCCTGAACCCTCCCTCCCAGCTGCCTGTCCCTGTGTCTAACTGCCCCACAACATTGGACGCTGCCCAGGAGCAGGCAGCAGAGCCTGTTTTCTCTATGCACCCAGTTTCATTCCTCGGCTGGGCCCAGGGTGGATGTCAGGAAAGGCTTGCTCATTCAATGAGAGAGAGCAGGAGAGCTCTGGAGGCTGGGTGTCTATGGCTGGGGATGAGGGAGAGGGCATGGGGCAACCTCCCTGGGGAGAAGGGCCAGGGCTTTCCCCAGGTGAGCTCACCTGACGAGGACTCCTTGAGACCAGCAGCCCCCAGGACGTGCACCTGAGTCACCAGCTGGGGGTAGCCGCACAGGGAGCTCCAGCAGGAGCGAGGGGGCTCGTCCAGGCGCAGCTCCCTGGGACAGGGCAGAGGAGAAGAGGGGACAGGTCATGGAGGGGGCCGGGAAGACAGAAGGTGAAGGAGGTCCAAGAAGTGGGGAGGGGGAAAGGAGCAGTGTTTGGTGCAGACATCACTCGTCCTCGGCAGACCCCCAGTGGCTTCCCGCTGCTCCGTCCCCACCCAGGGGTGCCCCATCCTCCCCCAAGGGAACAGCAATTCACTGAGCACCTCTTGGGTGCCAAGCCCTCTGCTGGGAAGTTACAGGTATTGTTTCTAACCCTCACAAAGCCCTGGGAGACAGGTGACTATTACTATGCCCATTTTACAGATTAGGGACCATTAGGCTCGCGGGGGGAAGGGACCTGCCCGCACGGCTGGAGAGCGGTGAAGTCTAGACCGGCAGGACTGAGGTCCCCTGATCCCACCAGACAAGCTGCCTCCAGGTCTCGGATGCGGGCAGGGAGCACTGATCTGGGCTGCCTCCCAAGGCGGGAGGGCAGTGTGGGACGCGTAGGGTCTGCACCCCAGCAGGGATGGGGACAGCCTCAGCAGCCCACCTAGCCCGACTCCACCACGTGCCAACCTCAATCTCCAATTCTGATCCATAAAATGGAGGGGTCAGGCCTCCCACTCAGGGTTCAGGAAGAGCAAATGAGATGAGTGGAAGCTTCTTTATAAACTGTGAAGCGCTGTGCACATATGAGAAACTGTTCCTTTATGTGGCCAAGAGAGGCTGGGGCAGAGGAGCCAGGGAAGGGAGAGGAAGGAGATGGGCGCTGGTGTGGGCCCAGCGAGGCTGGAGGCCTGGGCTCCAGGCCTCGGGCAGACACTGAACATCTCTGAGCTGCAGATTCCGGGTCAGCCTGGTGTGGACCTCGGCCCTCCCTACCCTGGCCCCGAGGAGCCCCGCGCACCGGCAGTTGGAGGGCACGTCAGTGAAGACTCGGAGCAGGAACTCGCCAGCATGGCCTGGCTCGAAGGTGGTGGGGATGATGACGTAGCGGCCCTCGGGCTGCTCCGTGCGCAGGAAGACGCTGCGCGAGTTGATGTAGATGGAGCTGGCGGCCCTTTGCTGCAGGCTGTGCATGCGGTACTGGCGGTTTTCCTCCACCTGCGGGGGGGGGGGTGCCCGGGTCACAGATGCGGCCCCAGCCTCACCCCACCCCATCCCACACCCCACAGCTCTCCCTCGCCACCAGGAACAGAGTGAGAGACTCCACTTACATGAAATGCCCAGAACAGGCAAATCTACAGAGACAGAAGTAGATGAGTGTTTGCCCAGGGCTGGGGGCAGGGAGGGGGATGGGAGTAGGTGGTGATGGCTAAAGGGTGCGGGGTTTCTTTTTGGGGTGAAAATGTTCTAGAACTGATTGTGGTGATGGTTGCACAACTCCATGAATACACTAAAAGTCACTGTACACTCTAAATGAGTGAACTGTATGGTCTGTGAATTACATCTCAATAAAGCTGTTAAGTTGGGGGGCAACAGGAATCCCCCTGGTACAATGTCCAAGGGCTTCTGACCATCACAAGAGAACCAAGCATCGCTATCTGCCCAGGTCACAGCACGTGTCCGTGAAATGACATCGCCAGCTGCCAGCACGTGCTGGACCACGCCTGAAACAAGTGCCATGATAAGGCACAGTCCCATCAGTGAAGGTCATGACACAACACGTCAGCACACAACAAATGACCAACACAATGATGTGAACAACCGTTATGACACAACGGAGCACGTCAAATGCCAGGGACTCGACTCAGATCACGCGCCTGGCATGTTCACGTGATTTCGCTGGGTTCTCGCTGTCTGGCAGGCCCTGGGTGTCCCACCATGCTGAGTGTCACCACACACTGGGCATCACAACATGTGGGGCCCAGGCCGAGGGAGCGGCCAGTGGTAGGCCTGCCCAGCCCTCCCAGGATGCCTCCCCCCAGCGCCCAGGAAGGCCTCCAACTCAGGGGGACCAGAGCCCTGAGGGAAGGAGCAGCAGGGGCCTCCCAGAGCCCGGCCCTGACCACCAGCAACCCTCCCCTTCCCCATCCACCAAACAGCCTGTGGGGCTGGGGCAGGAAGAGATCAGGCTGAGAGCTCCCATGGGAGCCAATCCCAGGCAGGCCGGGCCCTCTGTGGGTGTTCCAAACAGGACCCACGCCACACATGCCCATGGTATCAGCCAACGGGGCCAGGGTGGCAGGGGTGATGTCGGTGACTAAGGTGTTCTACAATGTTCTCTCCAAGCCCAGGCGGCCCAAACTCCAGCTCCCTCACTCTCCTCACCCAGAGCAGGCGTCCCAGCTGGCCTCACCTTGTAGATGTCGAAGCCAATGGCCAGATTTTCGCCCTTGCCGTCCCGGCGGGTGGACTGTCTCGGCCGCTGCTGGACGCATATCAGCACTTCATCTTCTGGCTTCTTGACATCAAAGATGTACTGTGGGTTTGGCCGAGGAGGAAAAACACCACAGTGAGACTATGCCAATGAGGGGCTCGCTGGCTCCCGAAAGCTCAGCCCAGAGCCAGGCCCCGGCTCAGCTGTGTGAGCCAGGGCAAGTCACATCACCTCTTTGAACCTCGGTCCCTCCTCTGTGAGATGGCCTACAATGCCCACCCTGCATGAGGGGTGGGAGGGCTCAGGAGATCATGGATGCTCAGCTCAGAGCCTGTACACAGTCAGTGCTCAATGAAGGCACACCCAACGTGAAGACCACGCAGTTGCCAGGGTCATGACTGAGGAGGCTGCAGGGGAGAGGTCCCTGTGGGGAGCCAGCCTGGCCGTGTTCCCCAGAAGGAGCAGCACTGTGGGTGTGGAAACAAGGGGTTTGAGCCCCTGGCTCAGCCTCTAAATGTCTCTGTAACTCCAGACAAGGCACTCAGTCCTCAGAGCCTCAGTTTCCCCATTTTTAGCATCTTAGGGTCAGATTGCGAGGTTGGGGCTACGTGACCGCCCAGACGTGCCCATCCAGCCCCCTCTGTGCAGGTGGGGGCACTGAGGCCCACGGAGGGACAGGGATGTCCGAGGTCATGCAGGAGTCCACAGCAGGACAGTGGCCAGGGCCCCTGCAGCTGCTGCAGGGGCAGGGTGGGGGTCCCTGAGAAGGCCCACCTGCGGGTTCTGGAAGAAGGTGTCCTTGTGGTTGATGCAGCCCCCGCTGCGGTTCTGCTGCGGGTCCTCGTGCTGCGTCCAGGCGCCACGCAGCTGGACCTCCTCCCACGTCTTGTGGATGCTCAGGTAAGACGTGTTGATCAGGCGACACTTGATGATGTCGGTGAAGTACCGGCACACGTCCTCGAAGGTCATCCTGGGCGTGGCAAGGGGCTGAGCCGGGCAGGTCCCCCCGGCCGGCCCACCCGCCCACTCACCCTGCGTGATCTGAACCACGGCCCACCCAGGAGCGAGCGCGGACACGGCGTCACTTGGAGCCTTCACGTCTCTTTTGCTCAGTTTCCTGATTTGTAAGATGGGGATGAACCTAACAACAGCTGCCTACCTCACAGAGTTAGCGCAGGAACTAAGTAACGCGAGAAAGGCACATAGCACAACTTCCGGCAGACAGAGGAGCTGGCAAAGGCTGGCTGTTACAACTATTAATAGTATGAATAACTGAGCTGTACAGTCCTCTACAGTTTATAAAGCACGTTTCCCTCCACTACCTTCCACAGCTGTTGTGAGGCCTGAATCACCTGGGGGTGGGAACCCCTCGGTGAGCCTGCTGCAGTGGCCACGACATTGCTGTGCACACCTGTGAGAGCCTGGGCGGAGCATGGGGAGTGCCCACCCCCCCTTCAAGTGTGCACACACACGAGAACATGCACACAGACGCATCAGGTGTGAACACCTATGAGAAAGGCCTAGGAAGAAGCCCTCTCCACTGATGAGGGTCTTCTATTGCTATCTTTTAATTCGACTGACCCCCAAGGCAGACAGGGCAAAGTGGATCTCGTCCACAGGAGCCCAGACCAGAGGGCTGGGGGGTCCTCCTGCAGTGGCTCTCCTGACACCTGCAGGAAGGGTTCTCACAGGGGTGCTAGGATCACTGCCATCTGCCTCTGGGTCGGCCTGGTGCCCTCACAGCGTCCACCGCACACAGGGTGCCCTGTACCCACCCAGGACATTGGTGATTCTCCAAAATAAGTGTTCTGCTGAAGAATGACACTGAGCCTGGCACACAGTCTGGACTAAATGCAGCCTGAAGGTATGCAGGAGTGAATGAATGCAGACCGAATGAATGCAGGAGTGAATGAATGCAGGAGTGAATGAATGCAGAAGTGAACTTGAATGCAGGCTGAATGAAGGCAGGAGTGAACAAATGCAAGAATGAACAAATGCAGGAGTGAATGAATGCAGGCTGAATGAATGCAGGAGTGAACGAATGCAGGAGTCATTATTGGGCTCTTTAAGCAAGGCTGCTGCCATCTTCCCAGGCCACGCCTCACCCATGTACCCCCTAAATCCCCCTCGCCTCCCTAAACCCAAGTGTGCTCTCTTGTCTCTGGCCTGGAGTGCTCCCCTCTGCACCCCGAGTCTTAGCTTGGGACGCAGCTCCTTCGTGAGGCCTCTCCCCTCCCCTACCTGCTCTAGGCAATCAGGCTGCCAGCGCGCCCCCAGCCCTCTGGTCAATCCCCCGCTGCTGGCATCCTGGCCTGCTTGCTGAGGACTCAGCCTGAGCGCCAGAGCAGCCCAGGGTCCCCTGAGGTGGGCATGGGGACTATGGGGATGAAAGGGCCCGCCCACTACTGCCCAACTTATTTTACAGCAGAGGAGACGGGCTCAAAGAGGCGGCGTGACTTGTCCAAGGCCACACAGCAAGTTGACAGTGCAGCACTTGCTGGGGCCTGGCCCCGGCGCTCCCTGCCCAGCCCACAGGAGGCTCCTCCCTCAGCCGAGCCAGAACACACTCACCAGAACTCACCGTCGTCCTGCACCGTCACGCCCATCTTCTCCCGCTCACTCTTGCTGACCTTCTGCCACTCCTCTGAGCTGGGACATGAGCACGGAGGGGGGAGGGGGAGGGGTATAAGAGGAGGGTCCCCCAGGGTCACCCTGGCAGGGGAGAGGAGGCACGAGCGTCGCTCGGCAACAGGCCCATCAGTGTGGGTGTCTCTGGAGGCACCCAGGGCCAGGCCCGGCCCCTCCACAAGAAGCCCTGTCTGCCCACTCCCGCAGGTGACCGTGGCTGCCACCCCATCAGGGACCTGGAGGTCTGGGAGCAAAGCTGCAGGTTGGGGGCCAGCGAGGAATGACCCTCAATGCGGGGGGCTCCTTCACTGGGGGCCTGGACTCTGCTCCTCTGCTCACCACACCAGGGCCAGGAGCCAAGCACAGTCACCCCCATTCTCTCCCCTGGTGGCCTCCCTGCGTGTTTCCCTCCCCACTCACTTGCCTGACTGGTCCATACGGCCCTAGAGGAATCAGCTCATCCCCACCTCCAGGCCTCTGCCCATGCTGAGCCCACAACTCCCCCAGACCCACTCCAAAGGAAGTCTCCTCCTAAAGTTACCCTCTCCCAAATCCTTCAAGGCCCAGCCCCAGTGCCACCTCCTCCAGGAAGCCCACCCCTGTCCTCGCCCAAGCTCTCAAACCAGGGCCCGCCCCCTGCGGTCTGCCCCGAGCCTGCACCCCGGTCCCGGGCCTCACGTGTCGCTCCAGGGCCCCCCCCCTGCGGTCTGCCCCGAGCCTGCACCCCGGTCCCGGGCCTCACGTGTCGCTCCAGGGCCCCCCCCCTGCGGTCTGCCCCGAGCCTGCACCCCGGTCCCGGGCCTCACGTGTCGCTCCAGGGCCCGTTCCACTCCCGCTCGCCCCAGGGGTTGCGCAGGCGGATCATGTCCAGCTTCTCCGACTTGAAGAAGGCCAGCAGGCCGTGGCCCAGGCGCACCTTGCGCACATCGGTGATGGCGTACGCGTGGCCCTTCACCAGGCCGCACGCCAGGCGGGCCTCCATGTCTGCCGCTGTCACTGCCTGCGGGAGGACACAGTTGCTCACAGGCAGGACTGAGTCAGGCTCGAGCTGGACCCAGGGTGGCCACACTGCCCCCTACAGGACGGGGCGGGAATGGCAGCCCCGCACAAAGGGGAGACCTCGTTCCTCTGAGGTGAAGGCCCCAGCCCAGGGGGCACAGCCTTCACAAGCCCCAGGGGGAGCAGCAGTGTGGGGTGAAGGAAGAGATCTGCGGTGGGGCTGGCCCCGGAGGGTGCTGGAGTCGACTAGCACTGGCTCAATTTTGCAAGCTGGTTAAAACGTTAGCTTGAAATCTGCCATGGTGGGAATATTAACACCACAGAAATCAGCAAATGCTACAAATCAGGGCTTTTTCTTTTTCCAGAGAGCCAGTTTATCAACACACCACTGGGTCAGCCAAACCTGGGTTCAAACTCTGCCTTCACTGAGCCCCAGCTCTCCTACCCGAAATGAAATAAGACGATCCTCTTAAAGCGCCTGGCCCTGTGCCAGCAGCAGGAGGGGCTCCCTCACCTCTTTTGGTCACCTTGTAGCTTACGATGCCTCAGACCTTGACTGAGGGACCCTCAGATGCATCGGCACCCATCACCCCAACAAGAGAGGGCTGGAAAAGGGGGATGCTGGCCGGACAGTGTGGGTGAGGCATTTCATAGCGTAGGGGTGAGTGTGGGGGGCCTGTGGCTTGTGCTGCCCAGCACTGGGGAGGGGGCTGCACCCTCCAACTGCTCCCCTCTCCCCATGAGGCTGAGGGTCTGGGTTAATGAGCCAACCTGGGCGGGGGCTCTGCCTGGAATGTGACAGCCACCTCCCACCCCATCAGGGTCGGTGAGGGAAGGGGCTGCCTCTGGGGCCCGGCTCTGTGCTCTCACCTTGATGGAGGCGCTGATGAGGCCTCCCCGGCTGTGCACCTTCAACACACGCTCAAAGAGCTGGTTCCTCTTGGCCTCGTCATTGATGAAGTCACCCTCGGTCAGGTCGATGGGCTCAGAAACACCACCTGTGAAGTCCACCAGTGCGTCCGCTGTGTTGCCTCCATCGAGGGCCTGGTAACAGCCCGACAGCCTGGGGAGCAATGTGGAAAGAATTCCCAGTTCATGCTCCCCTGCCGGTCTAAATCCTTTACCTTATGGGGAGGTTTTTGAGACTCAGAGAGGTCAAGCAAACTGCTAAGGTCACACAGCAGGCCACAGCAGAGCCAACACTAGAACCCAGGACTCTGGCTCCCAGGCTAATATTTGTCCCACTGACCCACACCATTTTATCACTCATATTCCTCTTTGCCTTAGATGCCTCATCTTCAAAAGTTAGCTGTCCAGAAATCTAGCAATTCTTTTCAAAAGTGTTAAAAGCTTATATATCTTTTGACACATCAATTCTGGATGAGTAACATTATTTATAACAACGCAAAACTAGAAATCACCTAAATGTCTAACAACAGGGAACTGGTTTTAAAAACTAATGCTGTGTCTCCACTCTGGAACATTCAGCAGCCATTAAGCACAGCACTGCCAAAGAATCGCCCTGCAGGGCGACACCCGTGCTCGTTTGTCACGTTTGAAGAAGCAGCCCAGCTGGATGCCAGTTATGTTTCAAATGTACACAATAATTCATTTAAAAAATATTAAGCATCTACTTTGTGCAACACGCCAGGTGCTAGGGACCCAGCTGTGGCTCCTTATCTAAATGTTAGGAAAGGGATGGTCTTAAAGGCAGGGTGCTGAATGTAAGCCTGAGAAGCAGATGGGATATATAACAAAACACTATTTACGTAAAGTGAAAATTCATGCCCGCAAAACAGCAACACAGGTTTTGTAAGGAACCTACAAACAAAAAGATGTATCAAAGATGTTGAAAGAGTTGCCAGTGGTGGGCAGGGGGTGGGAGGGGCACGGAGGGCAACGGGAGGCAATGGAGACAGGAGGGGGGCCCTGGCCGTGCTGGTCCTGGACAGAGGAGCCCTGTTACCTCAGATCCCAAAAGACAGAGGGGGATGGGGGGTGCTGCTGGGAGACTACACAGGAGGACAGGAGACTTTTAATATCTCCTGCATGATTTTCTTTTTTTTTTTTTATAATTTTATTTATTTATTTTTTCCCCCAAAGCCCCAGTAGATAGTTGTATGTCATAGCTGCACATCCTTCCAGTTGCTGTATGTGGGACGCGGCCTCAGCATGGCCGGAGAAGCGGTGCGTCGGTGCGCGCCCGGGATCCGAACCCGGGCCGCCAGCAGCAGAGCGCGTGCACTTAACCGCCAAGCCACGGGGCCGGCCCTCCTGCATGATTTTCTATATTTTCTGGGTTTGCTACAACAGACATGCATTCGTTTTATAATTCAAAAAGTAAATAAATGAAAAAATGAGCAAGTATAAATGGCACAGCCACCGTGGAAAACAGTTTGGTGGTTCCTCAAAAATTTAAACATAGAACCATAAGACCCAGCAACTCACTCCTAGGCATATATCCAAAGAACTGAAAGCAGAGACTCAAACCCCCACGTTCATAGCAGCACTAGTCACATAGCCAACACGTGGGAACACCCCAATGTCCATCGACAGATGACTGGATAAACAAAGGCTGACACATACACACATGGAATACTATTCAGCCATAAAGAAGAGTGAAATTTTGATTCATGCTACAACATGGATGGACCTTGAAAACATTCTGCTAAGTGAAATAAGCCAGACAGAAGGACAAACTCTGTATGATTCCACTTATATGAGCTACCTGATCTTCATAGAGACAGAAAGCAGAACAGAGGTTCTCAGGGGCTGGGGAGGGAGAAAGGGGGAGTTACTGTTTAGTGGGTACAGAGTTTATGTTGGGGATAATGAAAAAGTTTTGGGTATGGATAGTGGTGACGGGTACACAGCGCTGTAAATGTAATTCACACCACTGAATCATACACTTATACACGGTTACACTGATAAATACTATATTTTGCCACAATTAAAAAAATAATAAAACTATTATAAAAACAAAAAACCCCAGCAAGCCCACTGAGCAGCTTTCCCAGAAGTGGGAGGAGGGGGGCCTGCACCTGGGACCGCGGACACTCAGTGACCACCAGGGGGCGGGTTTTGCTTTCTTAGGATTAAAAATGGAATCTGTCAACCACTGTTTTCTCCAGTTTGTTTCTGATGTTGGGAGTTCTGTTCTTTTTCCTTTCACACACACACACGGACACACATTGTCTAAAGGGACTGACAAGGGGCCTGGGAGGAGGAACCAGGGAGATGCTTCCCCAGAGCTGGCGGGGCTGGTGTCTGAGCCCACTGGCCCTCCTGCCCCAGGCCTGCAGGGGTCTGGGCAGGTCCCTGTGCCCCAAAGCCCTCCACAGCTCAGCAAACCTTTGCGGGTGCCCGTGCTGGGGACCCAGGGCCTGGCACAGAGCGGGATGAGGGGTCAGCAAAGATAGAATGGATGGACAGTCAGTCAGGTAGACAGATGGATGGGTGGAGCAGGGGAGCCCAGCGAGCAGGGAAGGTGGTCATTCGGTCCCCCTCCACAGCCAGCCCAGGCTCAGAGATACCACAGCCCCAACAGGGCCTCCAGGGAGGGCTGGGCAGCTTGGATCTTTGGGAAAGAAGCACCCACCTGAAGGTGAGTGCCAGCTCTGCCCAGGCTACCTGCAGGACACCTGCCTGGGCCTCAGTCTTCCCAGGCAGAAGTGAGAGTAGTTATTCCTCCCTACGTGGGTTGGTCGTGGGGACCTGACACCAGGCACCAGAGAACCTTCAGTCCAGGCCTCCACCCCACCCAGTGCAGGCTCAGCTCTGGGTGCCCAGGCTCTGAGCATGCTGTGTGACTCTGCACCAGCCCCTCACCTCTCTGTGCCTGGAGCCCTGGCTGGAGGAACACCCACGCAGAGCCCACCAGGAGTGTCGCCCCAGCCTGGCCACCTGCCCGCCTGCCCACCGCTGGCACCTACTTGGCATAGGCCTTCTCCACCAGGGCACACCAGAACTCGTTGCGAGAGCTAGAGTGGCAGTAGATGAGCTGGTTGTTGACCGTGGGCAGCCGGTCGTCGATCACCACGTCCAGCCACTCCCCAAAGCGCCAGAACTGGAAGTGGAAGATGCCCGCATAGGCGTCAGGCTTCTCGGGGTCCCACTCCTGCTCCTTCCAGTCTGGGATGACCTGGATGGGGAGGGGGGACAGGACGGGGACACAGTGAGGGACACAGCGGGCTTCCTGAGGAAGCAGGGGTGCCTGGCTCCAGGGAATCTAAGTGGAAAGGAATACTGGGTCAATTTCCATCTCTGCCATGAACCAGTGTGGGATTTGGGTGAATCCTTCTCATCTCTGGGCCTCAGTTTCCCCATCTCTGCAGTGGTTGGAGGCTCCCTTAGGCTCCTTCCCACTCTGTCATTCTGATTCTGTAAGCTTCCCCTTTCCACCCTCACGCCTCCATCCGCATGCTCCCTGCTCAGAAATCTACCGTATCCACCCCAGTTCAGCCTGGTGCATGGTACCACCACCCGCCCAGTCCTGCCCGAGCCAGAAACTGGGCCACGCTGGCCTCCTCCCGTTCCCTCTCTCCAACCAATCAGGCCAATCAGAGCTCCCACCTTCTGCTAAAGTTCATCTCCTCCTCTCCATCCCCCGGCACCACCCAGGCCCAGTGGCCCATCTCCTCGTCCTTGGACACCGTAACACCATCAGCAGCCACATCTGCCCTCACCCCACACAGCAGCACAGTGATCTTTCCGATCAAGTCACTTCCCTGGAAAATGAGGTCCAAACGCTAATGTGCTCTGTCCTCACACCCCGCCCCCAGCGCTCTACCCACCCCACACCCCAGCCCCAGCCCCTGCTCCCTGCTCCAGGCTCTTTCTCTGGTGAGGAACTCTGTACCTGCTCTTCCTCTAGCTGACTCTCACTTGTCCTTTAGGGTCCACCCTCCTCCTCCACGAAGCCCTCCCTGACTCTTCGAACTAGGCCAGGACCCCTGTCCGTCAGGGGCCCGTGGCACTTCTCTGAGACTCTTAGCCCAGTCATAATTGAACAAGTGTGGGATGTTGTGTTCAATCCTGACACTCTCACTGGAGCGTCAGCTCTCCGAGGGCAGGGACATACCAGTCTTGGTCACTGCTATCCACCCAGCACCTAGCCCAGGGCCTGGCCTAGAGAGTTAATAAACATGTGTTTACTGAATGAATAAATTCAGGCATTCATTGGGACTCAAATAATACTGATTATCTACGGAGCATCTTGGAAATGTCAGGTACCCAGCCTGTGACCGCCATGGGCTATCTAATTCACACAAAAACCCCATGAGTACATTACTAGTATCCATGTCTACTTTACAGATGAGAAAAATGAGGCTCAGAGAGGGCAAGTTACTTGTCCAGGGGCACATGGCTAGAAAATACACACATTCTTTATCAGCATGGACCGCTGTGTGTGCAGCCCCATGCTGGCACAGAGGACCCAGATGAACCAGACACGGTCCCCACCCTCGGGAGGCCGCAGTGTGGTGGGAGAGGCAGCACACAGGCAAGTGCTGAAGTTGACACAGGGTGCGTGGGGGGCATGGAGAGAAGGGAGGGGTGGGCCCAAGCCTGGAGGGCCAGCAGCAGCTTCTAAGCAGGCATCCTGAGAGCTGGCAGTGGGCGTCCCCCAAGCAGACAAGGACAAACAGAGATAACCTGGGCAGCAGAGGGTGGGCAGGGAGGGAAAACCCCTCGACCGGTGAGTCAGGCGGACCTGCTGGCCCTGCTGGGCACTGGACCAAGTGGGGCCAAATCCCACTGACACTAGCCCCTACTAGAAGAAAACCACCCCCAAGTGTGGGGGTGGGCACGCAGGCGTCAGGGCCAAGGAGCCAGAGAGGCATGAGGAGGCTGTAAATCCCGAGGCACAGACCAGCCTGAGCACAGTCAGGCAAAGGCCAGTCCCCACCCCCACACTCATTAAGGATGCTGTTGTTTACAGGCCTCTTACCATCAATGGGGATGTTGGCAAAGAGAAATGCTCCCTAGTGGGACACTGGAGACCAAGAAAATGAAAATACGAAGCACAGTGAGAGGCATGCGGCCACTAATGGAGCCCTGCAGGGTGCCGGGCGTGGTCAGCTGTTTACTCCATGCCCCTCACCCTCGCCACTATCTTTCCAGGCAATACTACAGGAACCGCGGGCAGAAGGCTGCCCAGAGCTCAGGTGAGGGAGGCAGGACTCAAACCCAGGGCTTCAGAGCCTGGCACAGTGTCTGGGATCCATTTGGACGGATACTGGCTGGTCCCTTTTCAGTCAACTCTGTCCTTTTCTAAGTAAAAACTCCCAGGCTGGCCTCTGCCCTGACACCCCCCCGCCCCCCACCGCTTTGCTTGCAGGACAGAAAGCCGTATCAAAATGGGGCACATGCAGGTGGGGGATCATCCCCATTGCACAGAGGGGAAGGCTGAGGTCCAGAGAGGAGCAAGGGCACAGAGTGATGGGCAGTCGGAAGCTGAGAACATGGCCTGGTCACTGCAGCCTCCCCTCTCCGCCCTGCTCTGAAAGCTCTGGACTGAGTGGGGGCGGGGAGGGAGCCCTCACTGAGACCATGGGAGGATCATTAGCCAAACCCAGGCCTTGGCTTTGAGCCCCCTGTGGCTCAAGCAGCAGCTAATGAGGCTCCAGGGCCTGGAAACCCAGAGTCAGGGATCCCTGTGGGCCTCAATTTCCCCTCCTGCGTCACAGCCATTGGACCTGGCATGGGGTGGACCCAAGCCAGCCTTCTCACCCCTCCAGCCGGGGTGCTGGGCGAGAGGGAGGAGACTGTCCAGGAAGGTCTGCTCACATGGCACACAAACTAAAAACCCTTCCGCACCATATCCGGTCACACCAGAAATCAAGGAAGCGACCAAAAACCCCCGGGGCCACGTCAAGGGCTTCAGACACCAAACTGAAGAGGCTCCTGCTGGCCAAAGATGGGCCAATCTGAGCACCAATAGGGACAAAAACTGTGATGGATGAAAACACATCAAATATGTCACATCCACGCGGTCACAATGATACTCACACAAACAAATAATTAGTCACTAGCGGAGGATGGTGGGGAAGCAACTCATTTTTTTGAAAATGGAAAATTAAGGGAAAGAATCGAGGATTGATCTGCCTTTTCTACAGAAACTGTACCAGAGGGTAACCAACAGCAGATGGAGAGAGGCTTGTATCTGGAGAGGAATTCCAGCTAAGAAATGAGGAAGAAATTAGAATATGAGACTCCTCCTATTTTGCAAGCACTGACAAATCACAGATTTAGGCAATCATGGCTTCTAACCTTAGCAATTTAGGATCATCAATGGCTTCTAACATTACAAAAAAAGAGAGACAGCCAGACATCACGTGCTCCTGAGAGAACACCGTATCTCCTGTGACACAGTCACGACAGAGAAAGTTTGTACCTGCACCTTATCAAGCCTCTAGAGGTGAGTCCTAGCTTTCAGGAAATGCAGGGGAGGGAGAACGTGTTCAATGATGAGCCAGCAAAATCCAGAGTTGGAAACGCCACAGGACAGCCAATTGCTTCAGCAAATAAATTGCAAGACAAAAATTAAAAGATGAAGAGGAACCAACCAATTGCAGTATGGACCTTTGTTTGGATCTGATTCAAACCAACTATAAAACATACACACATTTATGGAAACCAGAACATTTACTGGCTATTTGATAAGAAATTACTGTAAAATTATTTTAGTTGTGTTATGCTATTATGGTTACGTTTTTGTTGTTGTTGTTGTTGTTCTGTTTTGTTTTTAATCAGTCCTTGCCATTCAGAGATGCATCCAGAAATATTACAGATGAAATGATACACTGCCTGGGGGAAGTGGGGTGGAGAGGAAACAAAATGGGCCACGAGTTGACGACTGTTGGAGTGGAGGGACGGGTACGGGGAGCTCATCAGGCCATCCTCTCCTCTCGTGCTGTCTACAGGTGAAAGGCCCCATCGCCACGGACACCCCTCCTGGCCTGGCATTCAAAGCCCTGCGAACGGCTCTGCTGACTCTCTCAGCTGCACCCCTGAACACCGCCTCCCTCAGGCCCCGTGGAAGTCTACACCCCATGATGCTTCAGGCCACCTCTGCTACACACGTGTGGCTCCCTCCACTGGCACCCGTGGTCCCTGTCCCTCAGGGGCCAGCTGAGCAGCTTGCAGCGGCCTCCTGACCCAGCGCTCCCCTTGGGCACCGTTGGGCAGCCCCTCCCCAGGCTCTTTCCCTGATCACTGGGGGGAGCCCCTTGAGGGCAGGGCAGCCTCACTCACGCCCAAACCCCTATCACCCAGCACAGGGCCTGGCCCAGCTCCACGCTGGCTGAGTCTTTCTGGGAGGAAAATCCCCCAGCACTGGCCACAGCGAGGCCCCGGCTGGTACCCACTACTGGGCACCACATTACCAACCGCAGCCCGTGGCAGGGACCTAGGTTTTGACTAGGCCACCTCTCCGAGCCTCGTGTCCACATCTACCTACCCTACCTCCAGGACTGTTGTGAGACACAAGGTGAATAACGGCCTTGGAGGAGCTGCATAAACTGTGGAGGGCACTGCACACATGAGCGGGCATCCCTGCTGGTGTCTGGAGGACACATGTGTGCACTCACACAACAGGCCGCACAGCTAGGGGTGGGGATGGAGCTGAGGTGACCTGGTCCACCTCCCTCTCAAGAAGAGAAAGTCCCCTGTGCAGATGGGGCAAGCGAGGCCTGAGGGGTCGAGGCACTTACTTGGGCTGACCAGGCAGCGAGGCAAGGACCGTGTGGGATTTGGAGCCCCTCTCACACCCAGGGAGCCCATAACAGCCATCCACAGACGAATCGGCCCAGAAACCCCAGGGTCCCACTGATAGGTGCACCACAGCGCCCCCTGGTGCTCTGGGGGTTTTCCCTGGGGGACTCCCACCTAGACCCAAGAGGCTGGGCTCAAATCCTACTAGGCCTCTGCCCAGGTGTGTGACAGAGAGAGGAGGAGAGGCTGGGAGAGTCAGGAGGCCAGGGAGGGCGGACTGCTCAGGACCCATGTGCGAGCGGGGCGTGCATGTGTGCGTGTGCAAGTGCGTGAACGTCAGTGGATATGTGTGTAAGCCTATGTGCAGGCGTGGCATAGGGAAGGAGCTTTTCACAGATTTCTGCCTGGGACCCCAGAGGGCCAGATGGAAGCGCTTCTGATAAGGCTGGCGGGGCTGCGGGATGAGGGGTTGCAGGGGAGTTTCCTGGGTTGCCCAAGTTGGGTGAGGAGAGCCACAGGCCTCTGAGTCCTCCAAACTAGAGTATCTGAAGTGCCTCAATCTCAGCTGCTGATGCCGAGTCTCAAATTCCCGAGTTTCAGATGCCATGACCGGAAGAGACCAGGAAGATGGGGTGCGCCCTACCCGCCCCCTCAGGAGAGCAGAGCCCCTGGCTCACCACCCAGAGAGCAGGACGCTGACTCACCTGCAGGGGCCCTCGGGGATTCCTGCTCACAGGGCAGGGAGTGAGCATAGCCAGAGGCTCAGAGACCTGGGCGGGGACCCCAGCCTTCGGGCAGGCCCCCTCCCCAGCTACACCGTGAGGGCTAAAGGTCCCCTCAGATGGGCCGTTCTGGGCCTGGTGATGGTGGCAGAGGAGAATCCATTCCCCCATATCCACTCTCTCCAACTACAGAGTCAGGCCTGGCCCTGGCCCCTGCCAGTCCCTCGACCCCACACCGCCTGCTGCAGTAAGCACTGGGCTGCTGTATCACCTCGGGCAACTCACTTCACCTCTCTGAACCCTGCGCTCCTCCCCCTCCCCCCCCTCTGCGTGCCCCTCCTCCCCCTCCTCCTCCTCCTTGGTAAATAGGTTCTCCTAATGCGCTCCTCTCAGAATAACTGTGAAAAGTGAGACCACACGTCTAGTGACTGGGAGAGTAACAATGAGCAAAGCAAGAGACAGGGCCCTTGTTCCAGCTCCTGAAGCTCTGGTGATTTACAAACAATGACTCATTTAATCTTCATCACAAAGACCCCATGAGGGAGGCAACATCATTAGCCCCCGCCAAGAGATGAGGAAACAGGCTCAGAGAAGTTGCCCAGGGTCACACAAGCGGTCAGCGGCAGAACCAGGCCGGTCCCTACACTACACCACACCGTCTCCAAGGAATGTGGCAGCTCTCGTGGCTCTGAGGTTTCTTGTGGTTTCCGTGGAAAATGGCTCCTCATTTGCCACTCCAGGCGTTCCCTCAGGCACTCCCTCCAGACCCGGTCTCAGAGCAGAGCCAGGGAGGAGAGGAGGGGTGGGAGGGCCTGGCCCATCGGCTCCATTGCCCACCCCTCCCAGAGGCATCTTCGGGAGTGGGTGGACGCTGTGGCTGGAAGGGCAGGGAAGCAGAGACTCCCGGGAGATGGGGTGGGGCGGGGCGGGCACTGCAGGGCTGGGGAAGGGAAACTGCTCTGGGGAGGGCTCTGGGGTGGAGGAGCATGGGGATGTGAGACCTGACTTGGGGAGCATTTCGAAGCAAACCCCAAAGTGTGGCCTCTGAAGCAGGGCCTGCCCTTGACCTCAGGGAAGAAGCCAGCCTCACCCGGGCCTGGCCTTCGGGTGTGGTGGGGGCATCGCCCTTGCCCATCCCAGGAGGTCAGCATCACAGGGTCAAAGGTCCGCAGATCCAGAGCCGGTCCACCACACCCCTCCCCCGGCCCCTCCCTGGCTTCCGTAACCTTGGGCAGGTGGGCTCCTCCTCTGGGCCTCGGTTGTCTCTGTCCAAAAATTGAGTGAGCCTGAGAGAGACGACAAGGGCCAAGCACTGAAGAAGTGTTGAGTGGGGCCCTGAGGTGATGTGGTGACATCAGTCTTATCTGGTCTGCGGGGTGGGGCTGGAAGGGACTTCACAGAACCAGTTGTCCCCTCTAGAAAGTCCGAGTCTGGGAGAGGGTCAGGGGCTTCCCGAGGACATGCAGCAAACTGGTGACAGAGTCCTGACTAAACCTGGGCACAGGTCTGACCCCACCCCACTCCTGCCACTCCCCTGTCCCATCTGCCCCCTGTCCAGCCACCCCGCAAAGGAGGGACACTGCAAATTGGGCATAGCTTGGTGTGTCCCCACGCACCCCTCCAGGTCCCACCCCATAGCCTTAGCATGGCTCTCTCCACACCCCAGACAGAGGCTGGTCCAGGGGCCCCCACAGAAAAACTGTCAGGGGTGTTGGTTCCTGGCGGGGTGTCAGGACACCTGGTTCTAAACGCCACCCTGAGGTCTGACCCTGGCCCAGTCACCCGACTGCTCTGGGTCTTGGCCCTGCAAGTGGCGGAGGAGGGGTCAGGAGTGTGGGAGAAGGCCGGGGAGGGGCGCTCAGGGTTGTGAGGGGATGGATAAGCCAGAGCTCCTGAAGAGGAGGGGGTGGCTCGCAGTGAAAGACTGCACACCACCGAGGCAGGGGCACACGGGCTTTATTGGGGACACACAGTGGGCACAGCACAGGGCAGATGTGGTGGGGCAGGGTAGGGTACAGGCAGTCTGCACTAGGACGTCCCCAGAGCTGCAGGGAGAGGTCAAGCAAAGAGGCAGAAGGGCAGGGCCATGCCCAGGGGCCTGGCCTCCCCCAGGAGTCAGCGAAGAAGCCAGGCAGGCCACACCGGGACCTCTTCAAGCACGTCGGGGACAGGCCCAGAGCTGGGAGTTAGAAAGGACTGTAGTTCACACCATAGTCGATCTCGCACCTAAAGACTCCCAACTCCGACACCCTGCTCCTGCTTGCAGGCCTCTAGAGTGGGGGCTCGAACTCCCAGCAGCCCTGGCGATTAAAGATGGCTCGGATTCTCCATCTTTCAATGCATCTGTTCCCAGGGCCCTGGGGCCCCCGATGGCTCTGCTTTGTGAGGGAAATGTCATGGGCACATTCCTGACAAACAACAAGGCTGTCCCTGAGACAGGGTGTTGGGGGCACCTCCTGAGGTGCCTTTGGCTGATGCCAGGCAGGTCAGACCCCTCCCTCCAAGGGGGGATCACTGGGTGAGCAGAAATGAGGCTTGGGTGCTGGAACTCAATCTGCTGATAATTGTGCCTCAGTTGCCCTGTCTGTTTGGTGAGTGGGTTGCACCCAATGACCTGAGGCCAGTGTCCCACTGTCACACCATACTGTCACCTCCAGCCCACTTCTGACCATCAGCCATCACAACTGCCCTACCAGGCCGCCCCACCCTGTCCCTCGATTCACTAAAGATGCCAGGGCTCCGGATCCCTCTATCCAGCGCCCCCAGGCTGAGGGAAACCCTGTACCACACTGTTCCCTGCTTCACAGCTCGAATCTCAAAGGCTCCCAGCTCAGAAAGCCCCACCCTCCCCAAAGTCATTTTGATGAAGCCCCTGCTAAGGACCACCTGTGAACCGGCTAGGCAATTATATGATAGATAACCTAAAATCGGACTTGTTCATAGGGCAGGTATAGACTCTAGAATATATCCATATGAATATAGCATGCTCTCTCAATATATATATATATCTATGTGGATATATAGATAGATCTCTGTGTGACTTTTTTCTAATCTCCCACTTCACTTCTCCCCTCCTGAAGTCATTCTCAGAAATGCAAATGTTGGCCTGCACGGCCTCCAGCATGCCAACCACTCCCCACAGCCCAAATCAACCCCACAGCAGCCTGCCCGATGTCCTGAGGGCCCCCGAGGCGTAGAGGGACCACACCAGGCCTGTGCCAGGAGCAGTGCTGTCCGGGGTCCTCAGGCTGGGTGTTCGCCTCTGGACATGGGCTGGGGCAAAGGGCGCTGTGGCCAGGCGGGCAGCAAACGCCTGTTTGCTGGATTCTCCAAGGAGGCTGCTCTGTCGTCTCCATCTCCCTGTCTCCAGAGAAAGCCTGAGGGCTGATTCTTTGGATTTCTCTCTCTCTGTGCCCGTCTCTGTCTGTCTCTTGGTCTCTCTCAGTCTCTCTCCGGACAATGAAGCAGAGAGAAGGCAGAGGCCTGGGGCCCCTCCAACTTCCCACACTAGCCCGGACCAGGCCTCCCGGTCTCCAGCAGAAGCAGTGGCAGCCAGTTCAGCTTCTAGACTACAGAACCTTTGCGTCGTCCTCCCGTGAGCAGGATCGCCAGCACCACAGAAAGGAGAAGAGGAAGGACGCCAGCTCAGGGGGTCCCAGCCAAGCCGAGCACAGGCCAGCAGCTGGAAGAATGTCCCCAAACACACACCTGGGGGCAGGGGGTCCGGGCAGGGGACAGGGCAGGTGGGCGAGAGGAGGGGCCGCAGCGAGCAGCTGCCATCAGAGCTGGCTGAAGACCACGGAGGCCTTGAGGTTGGCGGGCTCGAGGCCGTCGCTGAAGGTGATGAGAAAGTACATGACCCTGCGGATCCTGGCCAGCTCGGACAGGCGCTCCCCGAACTCCAGGGCGTCGGCCTCATTCCAATCCACGGCCTCCGAGTCCTCCTTGCGCCAGAAGATGGCAGTGGGGTCCAGCAGCTGGCGGGTCATGAGGTTGGTGAGGTCGGGCGTCCAGTTCTGGGAGGTGCCCGTGATGGTGACCTTGCCCGGCTTGTCCAGCACCACGTCCCAGCGCTCAAACTGCAGCTTGTGCTGCTGGACGAAGTCGAGGCGGTACACGGCCTCGGCCGGCCGCAGCAGTTTCTCGCCGTCCTGGCGCTTCTCCCCGCGCTGCCGCAGGCTCTCCACGCGCAGCCGCATCTGCCTGGTCAGGTACTCGTCCGGGACCAGGGGCATGTCGAGCTGCGGCCGCCTCGGCTCGTCCTCCGCCATGCCCCAACTGCTGCCGCCGCCTCGCCGTCCGGGAGCCCAGTGGGCTGGGGCCTCGCCACCAGGGGACGAGGCCACCAAAGAGGGGCCCCACCTACCCTTCTGCCCTCCCCTTGTCCCCTCCCCTCTTTCCCACTGGCCCGTCTCAGCCCCGCCCAGTCCTCAAAATGGGGTGTGTCCCCAAATGCCTCCTCTCCACTCCTTGCAGAAGTGGTAATGGAGGCATTGCAGGCAGGCAAGAGAGTGACAGGCTCCTCGGGGACCGGATCATGATGTCAATTGCTGTGGCAACCGCCCTGACTACCACGGATGGGCTGGGAGCTGGCTTGTTTGTGAAGGGAGCACTGCATACAGGCAGCAAGAGTGGGAGGGAGGTGGGGAGCAGGCGCACACTGAAGGCACATAAAGTGAGGCTGGAAGACCCCCTGGCAGGAGGATGCAGGGAACAAGGACCACCGGGGCCCGCCAATTTGAGATCGGAAGTCACCCAAGCAAACCTTGGAGCCATCCTGACTCAGCCTCACCCTTACCCCTCCACACCCGATCGCCAAGGCCTGTCGATTCTGCCTCCCAGATACCCTGAGGACCCTCCCCTCTTCCCAACTGCCAGGACTCCAGCCCAGCACCATCACCTCTCACCTAGACCCCTGTTCTCAAACTTTCGTGAGCATCCGAATCACCTGCAAGACTTAAAACACAGACTGTTGGGGCCCACTCCCAGAGTTTCTGATTTAACAGGTCTCTGATGAGGCCCAAGAATCTGCATTTCTAACAATCTCCCAGGGGATGCTGGTGCTGCTGGTCCAGGGACAGCACTTTGAGAATCACTGACCTAGATGATTCTTGCCTGCTGGACCAGCCTCAACCCTGCGCTTCATGGCAGCCACACGACCAGGTTTCTCTCCTACTAAAATCCCACCACTATTCCACCCATCTCAAGCCTCAGTTTCCCCCAAGAGACTTGAGGCTGAGGAAGAATCTGACTAACGTCTATATCCCCAGTGTCCGAGGCAGAACCAGGAGCTCAGCTGTTATATACAGGCAAACGGAAGAAGTGGAGCACCAGAGCCCTGAGGGGGCAGGGACCGAGTCTGTCTCGTTCGTCACTCTAAGCCAGCACTCAGAGCAGGGCCCGCCACACAGGAGGCCCTCAGAAAATGCTTGTTGAATGAATGAATGAATGAATGACACTGATGAGAGAAGGGTTGAGGTGATAGACCACGGGGCCCAAGGCCAAGAGGAAGAAGGGCAGATGGGGAGAGCACACGGGCACTGCCCAAAGCCAAAATGAGGTTTAGGGACAGGTGTGCATCGGAGTGGAGGAGCGAGGGAGATGCCTGAGGGACTGATCCTTCAGGTGAAGATGTGCAGGGAGAGCAGATCTAGGCCGTGGCCGCCATGGGAGCAAGAGGCAGAGGCAGCTGACGGTGAGGCTGATGGAAATGCAATCGAGACGTGAGGCCGGGTGATGAGGGCGGGGTGTCAGCCACATGGGCACAGTAATTCCCGGGACACGGCAGTACTTGGGGGAAAAGGCTGGGAAACTGGAGGTGCCAAGCCCTTGGTGCCTGGGTGGCAGGGATGGCCATAAGGTGGGCTGGGGCAGTGGGGGGAGGCACACAGCAGAGGCCTGTAGGGATTTATATGGGGAGGGGGCCGTCTGGAGGCAGCACTGAGGAAGAGAGAATGCCGCCCCATCTCTCGACCTGCAAGATGTGGGGAGAGGTGTTCAGCTTCTACTGATGGGGACCCAGGGGCCACATGACCCTGGGGAGGGCCTGGTCTCGGCCTGGGTAGAGGAGGCTGAAGGTGGACGTTGTTACCAGGGCCTGGGCCTCCCAGACAGACAGGGCGGGGGGGGGGGTGGGGGGGCCGAGGAAGGTCAGAGGGGGGAAGGTCAGAGGGGGAAAGGTCAGGGGGGGAAGGGCGAGGAGGCAGGTGGCTGCAGGTGGGGCTGGGCCCACTGCCATCCACACGCCTCTGCTCAGCCACCAGACGCCCTAGGAAGACCCACCAAAGGCTAGACATAGGAATGAAGAGAGAGGAGAGAAGCAGGCTCGAAACCTGTGTATGTGATTGCCAAAATGTGTATTAAAAACAGAACAAACACCTCTGTAACACCAAATGGAAAAAAGACTAGAAGCAAATACAGAAAACCCCTCACACTGGTTGTTTCCGAGTAATGAAAACCTTACGTGACTTTGTACTTTTTCAAATCTTCCATCCCCAGTGCCTAGAATGGTGCTCAATTACCATGTGGTAAACGTAGCTAATGTAGCTAAAGGGCATGAACTGCTTACACAACAGGGGCAGGGCGGGATGGGAAACATCTTACAGGAAACTAAAAGACAGCCCTGCCCTGCCACCAGGTGCCTCCCCTAGGTGCCGCCCAGGACTGCCCATCCCCTACACTGGCTCTCAGACATCCCAGCGCTCACTGGGACTCTGCTCACTTCTGCTCTCCTCCGGCCAGGGGCCTGGCTGACTCCTCCTGGGTCGGGGCAGCCTGCGGCTCAGAGCAGGGATCAGGCCTGCCCCAACGCTCAGGGCTGCGCCAGGCTTGGGGGGGGAGGTGAACTCCCCTGGCTTGGGCCAGGCCAGGCCTGATGGCAAATGCTCCACCCACTGTCACATCCTGATTTCTGGTCCACAAAACCCGGGTTCCTGAAGTCCACTGCCCTGTCAGGGAAGGTACAGTCAAGTGGGGGAGACCATAAGACCCCCACCAGGCATCCCATAGGAGGGGGAGGCTGGCTGCCAAGAGGTGTCCGGCAGAACAGAGAAACAGGCAGGGAGCCCAGAGGAGGGGTGGGGAGGGGGATTTACCACATGCAGATTGCCCCTCACACCCGGCTTGGCTCCTTTAATCCTCCCACAACCCTGGGGACTGGAAAGGTCAGGTTTACACCAAGGCCAAGAGAAGGAACACGACCTGCCCAAGCTCACACAACTAGCAAGGGACCCAGCCAGAATCAAACCCAGGTCTGGCCAGCTTCAAAACCCGTGCCCGTCGGCCCCAGGCTGCCTCAAGAAGTAGAGGTGAAGGGGTGGCTTCCTGGAGGAGGGGGCATGTGTGTCAAGGGTATGATGCACCTGCATCTGAGGCTCAGCACCCCCAGAGTGAGGTGGCAGGGGAGCAGAGGTGCAGCACAGGCTGAGCACCCCCATTCCACGGAGAGAACAGGGTGGGGCAGGGGAGGCCCTGCAGGGCAACGGGCCCAGAAAGTGAAGGGTGACAACAAACAGGCGCAGTCAGCAGGGACAGGGCGGGAGGCGAGGCACCGTAATGAGCCCCCCAGGGCCTCACGCCTCCTGCCGGGATTCAGGGGCTGTCAGCACAGCAGCACCAGAAGGCAGAGTGCAATTAGCCAAGAGCACCCCACCCTGCCCCAGCCTGCAGATCAGCCTCCCCACCCTCGAAGGCTCCAGACCAGCCAGGCTGGTGCCCCGAAACCCTGCAGGAGGAACCTTCGGCCCAGAGACAAACACAGGCCTGCCCATGGTCACACAGCATCAATGACAGGCCTCCTGCCAGCGGGTCCTGGACCCCTTCTTCAACTTGCTAGATGGGGAACTGCACCAGGGGACAGCCCGAGGCCAGGCCCAGGGCAAGACGCACAGAAAGCTGAGGTTCCCCCCTACGAATGACCAGACAGCCCATTCCCAGGAGGGGACACAGCGGGCCTGGCTCCAGCCCCACTGAAGGCCCCAGCAAGGCAGCTGTGGGGTTGCTGGGTCTAACAATTTGGGAGGGGCTCTGTTCTCAAAACTTTCTTGAGCCTTCTCTGTGCCAGGTTCCTGCTGGGTGCAGCAGGAAGATATAAGTTGGACCAGCTCTGCCCGGGGGAGCTCATCTCGAGGGGAGACCACAGATAAACAGGCAATTATAGGGCAGGGTGGGAGGCATGGGGTCAGCCCCACAGGATTCCCACGTGCCACCTCTGGCCCCAGACTGAGCCCTGACGTAGCTGGGGATGGGGCTCAGAAGCAGGGCACTTGTTCTGGGCTCAGAGAAGGGGGCTGGAGCCTGGAGGCAGGAGGATGAGGACAGCCCTACATCCAGAGAACAGCTCCAGGCCCCCACCCTCTCTGGGCCTGAAGCCCAGTGAAATGATCCCACGTGTGGCTCTCTGAGGCCCTCCTGGCTCGGACATCCCATGTCTAACCATGTCTACAGGCCGCAGCAGTGGCCTCTGCGCAGGCCCAAGAGCACGTAGCTACCCCTATCCCCACAGGACCCTCAGGGGCAGGCCCCAGGGACGCCCACCCTGGGGTAGCTTTGAGAGGTCACCTCTCTGTTCAGAAGACATGAGGGCGGGGCCCCTACCACGGTCCCAGCCCTGGCTGAGGGCACAGCTCCCTCCGATGGCTGCGGGATGTCTCAGAGGACAAGAACAAACTCACTCTGCTCCTGGTGCCCTGCTTGCACGGGAATACTCATTATGTCCTACAAATACTCATTATCCTAACACTGGTGCTGGCGGCCGCCTTCCCTGAGCACCGCACTGCGCAAGGCCCTTCAAGTATCGTGTCTCGTTCCACCCTCATGGCTCCCAAGGGGGAGCTACCCTATATCCCAATTTTTCCGATGAGTAACCTGAGGCTAATTATAAAGCTACTGAATGGTGAGGATGGGGCTTGAACCAGAGCCAGTAAGACTGAGATGCCCAGTGCTCTCATGCCCTGCTGCTAGCCCCTCATAAGAAGACCAGGAAGCGCAAGGATGAGAAAGGGCAATGACTTGTATTTGCTGGCATAGGGACCAGGATGCAGTCCCCGTTAATAATTCTTTAGAGAGCACAAGTATAGCCTATAATCTGGCCTCCCCGCCTCCCCAGGAGGGGAGCTCTGAGTGTTGGATTTAAGGGCCGCACTGCCAAGTGCTGCCACAAGAGGGCGAAGTGTCGGGACCAGAGCCCATTCCAACATAATCCCTTTGCCGCTGGTCCAGAACATCACTCATGAACCGTGAGTCATGAAACAGGATCGTCTGGACCACTCCCGCTGAACAAGGGAAAAAACTGAGGCCCAGAGAAGGTCAAGGACTGGCCAAGTCACACAGCGGGTCTGGCAGGGGTCTCCTGGGCCCCAGTTAGTGGTGTCTCCACACCGCACACTATTCACGCAGCTTCCACATTTCCCAGGTGTGTATTCGGCCAAGTGGCTCCAGGGACACTGTGGGCCCCCAATAGTGGGGAGGGGACACATCAGAATCCCCTTGGGAGTTATACAGATTCCCAGCACCTGCCTGGCGATCCTAAGCTGGCAGGTGAGGGGAAGGCGACTCTGATGATCAGCCAGTGCTGGGGAGCCCCAGGGTAGCCCTCTGCACGTTCAGGCTGCACCTCCCCTGTCTGGTAAGATTCTCCAGAACCCCTGGCTCTCCCCAGGCCTCACCTTCTGCCACAGTGGCTCACGGGAAGCGAGAGATGAGCAGGCCGCCACAAACCAGCAGTTGCCCACCTGGCCCTGGTGCAGGTCGTGGGAGCTGATGCCGTCCACAAAGAGGCGGGGGTCCTCGCAGATGTCCTGCGGAGAAGCCGAGAGACCTCACCATCGGCATGGAGATTCGCCCGCCTCCCCTCGCCAACGCGGCCCTGCAGGGCCAGTCGGTTTCCTCAAAGGCAGCTCCCCCAGGTGCTGCCTGGAACGTGCCCCGCCTTCTCCTGGCTGAAGAACTCTGCTCTTCTGCCAAAGGTTTCATGGATGAACGAATACTGTGGAAGGACTTCTGGGGGTTGGACCCCGGGCCCCCACCTTCCTCCTCCCTCTGTGGTCTTCCCTGCCCAGCAAGGGCTCGGTTTCCATCATTCTCCAGCCCCAGCAGCCCGGCAGTGCCCACCCCAGCTGGCCCTCAGGGGCCCACGGTCATCAAGTGGGGTGGGGGTGCAGGGCAGAAACACACACCGAAATTACACGTGATGAGTGCAAAGAAGGGAGTCGACGTGCCAGGCCCCGTGTGGGCACATCCTCGAGCTGTCTCATCTCACTCTCACCCCACCTGAGGAGTATGGGGTCGTTATGCCATTTTATGGATGAGGAATGAAGGTTCAGAGAGGGGTAGTGACTTGTCAAGGGCACACAGCAAGCAAATGCCGAGCAGAGCTGAGCAGAGACACCCCCGTGCTCCAGGAGTGTGGGACCAATGCGCCAGGCTGGGGCAGGGCTGGGCATGAAGGCGGTTCCCTTCCCCTTCCCAGTCCAGGTCCCTTCTAGGGCATGCGTGTGTCCACCTGTGTCCAGCACGCCCGCCCCAGGCCCCTCCTCCTCTCCCATCAGCATCTTCACTCCACAGAGCTGAGAGAGAGTGACCATTCCCTGGGGTGGGGTACAATGGGCAGCGGGGAAGGTAAACACTGACATGCCTTCCATGTGCCAGGCATCCTGCTGGCACCATCATCAATCCTCACACGGTCCTGAGAGGCAGGCATTGTGCCCATTTTACAGGTGAGGAAACTGAGGCCCAGAGAGGTTGAATAACATGCCCCAGCCACACAGCATGGGCCTGCCTCCACTTCAGCTGGTGCTCCTGAGCTACTTCAATCACAACCTAGCTACCGAGGTCCTACCACAGGCGGCCAGCAGAGGGTAGCAGAGTCAGGAAGACGAAATCCAAATTCTTGCTCCCTATTATTGGCTGTGCAACTTTGGGCTAGTGGCTCAACTGCTCTGAGCCTCTGTTTCCTCACCTGTGCAAAGGAGGTAGATTATTACCCCTGCAGGGCTGTGTGAGGACTCCACAGATCATGGAGGCAGAGCACTCGGCAGGAGAAGAAGGGACGAAAGGTTATCAGTTTTCACTAAGGCTCTGGGACTCCTGTTGCCACCTCCGCCTGGTAAAAGCTGGATTTTGGAGGGCCAGATTGAGGGCATGAGCAGGACCTTGGGGTGACCGAGGGCCAAGCTGTAAGGTGGCTTCCTCAGAGTACAGATGCCTGAGTAATATCACCCCAGGTCCCGGAAACCCAGTGAGGCTGCACCGGCTCTCAGGAAGCAGGGGTTCTCAGAAAGCAGAGGCTTCGCCTCCCTCCAGCTGCCTCCTTATCTTCTCTGCCGGGCTTCGGCCCACGCCCAGTCCGGCACCCTGAGCCAGAGAGAGCCATGACAGCATCTGCCTCCCTGCGGCCTAGAAGGGCAGGCAGGACCGGGGTGGAGAGGCCTTCATATCCGGAGGACCCCAGCCACATCCCCACTGTAGGAAGAGAGACAGCCACTGCCTGGTGTCACCAGGGTCTGCAGCGGTGACCTCCTAGCACCCCTCCCTTTCAGGTCCTCCCACTAGAGCCCTGGACAGAGACCCCCATTCCACAGAGGGGCACGCTGCCCGGGTGGGGGCAGTAACACCCAAGGTCACAAGGCAAGTAAGTGGACTGATGGGACAGAACCCAGGTCTGCTGGCTCCCCAACCAGGGTTCTCCTCCCCACGGAGCAGCCCTGCCAAGGCAGACCTGTGGGCAGGTCCAGCCATCCCAACCTGTCCCTACTGCCCCAGAACAGGGCTCTGACCCCAGACACCTCTCTAGCCCCTGAGAGACAGACAGCTCCGGAGGAAGGAGTCTGGATTCCAGGCCCAGCACCACCCTGACTCGCTGTGGTGGGGCAGGGACCTCGGGCAGATCCGCCAGCCCAGGAGGGAGCAGAGAGGAGAGGCGGTCTGAGGCGTGTGCCCACGGCCAGGGGAGGCGCAGCTCCACCAGCTCAAAGCCAGAGAAACCACTGGAGGCTGGCGGCACCTGGGGTCTGCCCTGGGGTCCAGCGGCCACCTAGGGACACCCTGAAGGAGACAATCACAGAAACAGCTCACAACGACTGAGCACCTGCTGTGTGCCAGGCCCTGTGCGAAACAACCCGTGAGACGGGCACTTCACCCTCCGCATTTTATAGACAGGCAACCAAGGCACAGAGAGGTTAAGTCATTTGCCCAGGGCCACACAGGAGGAGGTGAATTGAGATTCAGATTCACACAGTCAGCCCCAGAGCCTCCAGATGGGCTAAGATTTATGAGTGACAAAGCCATCCTTCCTTCCCTTGTCCCCCTGCACTTGTCCTTAGCCCAGCTCAGGGGGTCTCGCTACACAGCCCAGGCCCTCACTGTCACCACCGCAGGGCCGGGCTTCTCAAGACCAGTGTTTATCCTTCCACCTCCCCCGGGCCATCAGCCAGGCACAGAGCACAGAGCTAGACAGGGAGGTTCCCAGCCACAGGCAGGGCCTTGAAGAGGAGGAGCCGGACTATGAGCCTCCACGTGAGCACAGCTGTGACAGCAGAGCCCAGAGAGAGATCAGAGGAGGCTGCCTGGAGACAGTGACGCCAGTAGAGCAGGGACAGAGCGGGCTGGTGGCCAGGAGGCTCTGGAGGGGAATGGGGACTCCAAATCCCCCCCAAGACGGGATCCAGCCACAGCCTCCAGACAGACGCCACCTCTGACACCACCCTCCCCTAGGCCCTTGGCCGCCTGTGCTCCCTTCCACCATTGTCCACGCCCGTGAGCTCTAGGGCAAAGCCCGGGCCAACTCTGCCCATCTCCAGTGTCAGGAACAAGGCCTGGCAGGTTCCACCAGAGCTGCAGGCAGGAGGCCCGGGAGGCCAGGTGGGCAGACTGGCCTGCAGGATCGCAGGATAGGGCTGGACAGGCACCCGCTATGAGTCCTGGGCCAAGCTGTCCCCCAGGCCTGGGAGCTGACCCTCCTCTGGTCAACATACCTCTCCCTGGGGCACAGCCTTCTGCACCTGTGGTCACCTCTCACCTCTCGGCCCCTCCCAGTCTGTTGGACCAGCTCCACCGGACGCAGGTCACAGCCCTAACCACCTCCCTCAGCAGCACAACAAGAATTTCAGGTTTCTAGGCCCGGAGTACAAACAGGAATGCAGTGATCAGGGGCACCTTCCACCCCCCCTCGTCCCCGCTCCTCATCCACCCACTTTCACACCGTCACCCCCTCCTGGAATCTAAGGTCACAGCAGGAATCAACCAGACAACCGGGGAAACAGGGAAACGGAGGCCCAGGAAGGAAGCAGGAAAAAAGGGCAGCGTTCTCAGGCGTTAGAGCCTGGGCCCCACTCCCTCAGCAACAGACCTCCCTCCTGGCCTCATGCTCCCCTCTCCCCCACTGGCAACCTGGTCCTTCAAGGCCACTTGAGCACATGCCCGCAGGGGATCATTCCGGGGCAGGGCAGAGGCCCAGATGGCTGGCCTTGGTGCAAACGGCCTGTTTCGAGGCATAAAGGGGCCTACTGTTCAGCATAGCCAGGGAGCGGGGCCTTCTCCACGTGCTGGTGTGATGAGCACGAGCCCGGGCAAGGGGCTGGGGACCACCAGGCCACCTTGGGAGAATTCTGGGAGGTTCCAAAACCGACATCTGTTTGTGGGAGCCCCACTTATGCCCTCCTTGGTTCCACCAAAGGACCTGCGGGCTTATCTCCAGAGATGGGGAGTGGCAGAGCGCTGGATATGGGGGGATCCCCCCACCACAGGGATGAGTAGAGGCCCCTACGGGCCTGAGAGAGGAGGAAATGCCCCCTCCTGTCCATCCACAGCCTGGGGATTCCTCCTGAGTCACAGGCCTTGCTGACAGGCCCTGTCTCCTCTTATCTCCCTGGCCAGGCCTGTGGGGGAGGCCAGCAGATGCTCACTGAACTGGAAGGAACAAAGAAACCATGAGCCTGGGGGAGGAGGAGGGTGTGGGCCCCAGGCAGGTGCCCTGGGTGGGGCCTGACATAGACGAAGCCTGGCCCCCCTGCAGAGTCCACAAGGGAGGGGACTTCCCCAGGCAGGGTGGCTCTGCGTCCCCAGCACAGGGCTGGCAAGGAGCAGGTGGGGGAGAGGGGAGCCAGTTTGTCATCTGCCTCCCATGCGTGTGACACTACAGATACCTCGAGTCATTTCAGCCTCCAGAAACCAGGACCAGCAAGAATTATTCTCCCTGTTTACAGGTGAGGCGACTGAGGTCCAGGGAGGGGAAAGACTCGTTCAAGGTCACACCTCCCGTAAGGCAGGGCCAAGTCCACGTGGATCAAAACTAGCCTCCTCATCCCATTTTGGGAGAAAGGCGCTCGCTTCGGCAGCATATATACTGGGAGAAAGGAAGGGGGAGGCCAGCAGGCAGGGAGGCTGGCTTTTGTCTCTATTTGTAAACAGTCAGGTCACAGGACTCGAAAGTTAGACTCCATAGAAACGCAGCTGCCTCGGCCGGCCCAAGTTCCATCTCCCTGGCCAAGGGCCAAGCAGCTGGGGGTAAACGATCCCTCCACTGGGCTGACCGCCCCACCCGCCTGAAACACGCCGAGCTTGACTTCCTGCTCCACCAACCCTCTTCCTGCCCGCTACCCTGGCCCTGCCACCACCCAGCAGGCACTGCTTACACGTGGACCACCCACCACATGATGTCACCTCTCATCTAAAACCACGCAGCCGTGCCTGGCCCTGACCTGCCTCCCCAACCTGGAACTGACCCCCCACCATCCCTGGGCCCCACTCAGACATCTCCCTCTCAACACCAGCCACCGGGCCATCTGTCACCGGCCTCCACATCCAGGGCAGGGGCAGCTCTGCTCCTCCTCTTTCAGTGTCTAGAAAGGACCAGGCACCAAGCCCAGTGAGGAAGGCAGTGAAGGAGAGGGTGGCGTGGCAGGACTCCCAAACTGCCACTGGGAAAGGGGCCCAGAGAGGGCAGGTGACTGCCAGAGTCACACAGCATGGGGATGCTGAGCCCAGCCAGCCTGGCATTTCCTCTCACTGCACCAAGTCCAACTTTCCCTAGTCGTGCCTCGCCAGCCTCCTTCCAGAGCCACGGATCTAAAATGTCTGGGTGATGGCCAGAGGGCAGCGAGGGGGTCAGGACACGGGCAGCGAGGGGGTGGAGTGAGAGGGGGGCAGAGAGCTCAAGTGTCCGCCCCTCCCCACACCCAAGGCCTCACAAAGGCCCTTTGAGGCTGGTCTCCTTCCCCCCGGGCCAGAAAAAGGAGAGAGGAGGGCATAGGGGTTAGGGGGTGGCGAGCAAGAGGCAGGGCTCTAGTGGCCAGGCCTGAGCCGAGGCAGGGCTCAGAGTCAAGTGCAGCGGCTAGAGTCAAAGGCACCAGGGACCCTTTATCTGGTGTCGAGGGGGTAGGCCAGGGGAGGCAGGGTCCCTGGTTGGGAGGCAAGACCCCTGGGTCCCAGCCCAGCTCTGCTACCGGCTCGCTGGGCAGTCAGGGCACGTGCCTGCCCCTCTCGGCCTCAGTTTCTCCACCTCTCAAGTACCCCTGTCCAAGAAAATATACAGGATCTTTCCAGTTGGAAGGGACTTGAGATCGAAGCCGAGGAGAGGAACATGAAAGCTAAATGTCATGTTCCCACAGTGTCCAGGGGGCCAGAGGGAACTTTATAAAATGCAGACCTGACCTGTCACACCTGCCGAAAGCCTCCTTCGATGGCTGAGGCTGCCTCCGAGTGCCCCAGCCCTGGGCGCAGCCCTGCCGACCTTGGGAGTTTCAGCCTCCGGGTCTGGCATCCTGTGCCTTCTCACCCTTCAACTCGGAGACGGCTTCTCTGATTCTAGGGCAGCGGGAGTCTCCTCCGGGCCCCAAGCACCTCGGCACAGGACAGTCTCCTGCACTGAAGTCCCTCCTGTGTGACCAGCTCTCACGGTGTCACCCGCTCGGCCGTGCAGACTGGGGAGCAGGTCTGGGGCGGTGACCTGTGGCAGCCTCCCCATCACCCAGGCCCCTGAGGCACCCACTCCACACTCGGGAATTGGAGTTAAAGAGGATGAAATCATGCCATGAGGCCAAACACTTCTCATAAACACACACTAGCCTCAGTGACCAGGGCCAGGATAGGGGGACAGCCGGCCAGCATAACTCACTGTCCTCAGTAGTAATGGTGATAGCTGCCTGTACCAGGTGCCAGCTTTGCTGCCAGACCTTTCCATGCATCATCTCTTTTAATGCTCACAACTCTACGAAGTACTATTATTTTTTACTGCTATTGTTATTATTGATTAATCATCATCATAAATACTTTTCATTTACAGCAAATGACTACTTCATTACAGCGAAGTAAATCCCTTCTACTTGAATGTCACTACATTTTACTAGGGAAAGGTCACATCCACGTGACCTCACTTTTATCCTAACAATGACCCTGGGAGGAGGGTAGCAGGGCGGAGGGTCCCATCTTTCCCGTGAGGAAGCCGAGGCCCGGAGAGCGGGGAGCTCCTGGCTGGGCAGTGGTGGCCACGGGATTAGGGTCCCTTCTCCTGGCTCCTCGCCCAGATCAAATCCCACAAAGGAGGGCCCAGCATCAGGCCCTCTACTTTCTCGGCCACCTGAGGCCTCAAGATGACCCCTCCGGCCACCCCGCCGTCCCCTGCAGACTGGGTGGGTCCACATTCGGAGGAGACACTGACCTTGGGCCGCTTCCACCTGACGGCGGGCCCTGGGGCGTCCTTATAGTACAGCGAGTCATCGGTGGCCGGGAAGGTGGGGTCCTCGAAGAGCACCTTCCTGCGCAGGCAGGCCCGCTTCAGGGCTGAGTAGTCCTGGTCTTCGTAGGACTTCACGCACGAGAACATGGTGGCCGCTGTCCCGGGAGGGGAGGCGGAGACAAGGCAGCGGAGGGCTGGCTGGGTACGTGGCCGGCTCCCAGGGTCCCTGGGAGGAAAGAAGGCAAGAACATCACCACCTCCTGAGGACTGGATGAGTTAGATGCTCCCCGCATGCACCCTGCCTGCAGCCTGAGCAGAGAGCATCCTCATCCCCATCCGACAGGCTGAACTGAGGTTCAGACGGGGAGAGACCTGCCCAGGGTCACACAGCTGGTACACGCAGAGCAGAGACAGGAACCCACCGGCCTGCCTCACTTGCAGCTGAATTCTCTCATTTCTGATGCTTAGAGGGGACGCGAGGCCTGCAGGCCAACCGGCCAAGGACACAACCACCATGGTGCTTGGGGCTGCCTGGGGCACCGCCCTCCCCACCTCGTCTCACCAGCCCTCCCTAGACCTCCCGGGGCTGAATCTGACTAGCGGCAGACCCAGCAGCTCCCTGGCTGATGTCACACCCACAGGAAGGCAGCGGCATTGTCTCCAGGTCTCTCGCTTCCGGACTCTTGCCCCTTAGTCCAGAGTGACACATTCCTGCCCCGTATGGAAAAACCTTGACCCCGCGCCCCCTCTAGCCGTCATTCACATTCATTCTCTCGACCCCGCCCTCCAGCACCTGCCCTTGACAACTCCCAATTCCATAGGGAGCAATCTCATCGCTCCTTAATCCCAGCGACCTAATCCCTGCAGACCCCCCACCCCCCATCTCATGACGTCCCAATCTCCTAAACCCGACTCTCCCCCGACAGCCTCCAGACCTCGCAGGTCCCACACTCCTGAACAGCCTCCTCTTCCCGGGCTTCAGGGCCTTCTGCTGCTGGTCCTGACCCCTCCCCATTTCCAACCTTCCTCCCCCTGGGGGTCCCCTGGGGGCTGCACCAAGCCCAGTGGTCTGCTCACTCACCCCCTGCTGATGACCCCTGTATCCCTGTGTCCAGCCTGGACCCCTCTCCTGGGCCCCCGACCAGCCCACCCCCTCCTTATGAGGACCACGGTCCCCTCACAGGCACCAACCCAAAACTGAACTCATCTCCTCCCATGCCTCCCCCACTCCATCCCCGGGACAGGGCCATGAGCACCCTCGGACCAGAGCCCCAGACGGCAGGGCCCACTGGTTTGTTCCTCCTGCGCAGGTAGTCCCTGGCCCAGAGCCCAACACAGGAGGGCCTGTACACGTCAGCATCCTCCCTTCAGCCCCGAGGGTCCAGGTGGGCCCAGCCCAACGCCCTGAATCTTGTATGTAGCCCCGTGCTGACCAAACACAAGGGGCACAGACTAGACCAACGTGGCCAGGGAGGGCCCCCAGGAGGGGAGGGCGGTGGGGGTAGCAGCAGCCAGTGGGGCCTGATGCCTCAGGCGCCCTGACAGACGCTCGACAGCCACGCATCTGGGTGACAGCCCCACCTCTGTCCCCATATTGCAGGCTCCATCCAGGCCACTGGCAGAGCTCCACACCTCCTGGGTCTACTCATCCCGGGGCCTGCCCAGGGCAACGCTGCAACCCCGCCGGGGCACGGGACCCAACCTCCCAGCCAGGCTGAGGCAAACCAAGGCAGGGCAGGCTGGCTTCTGGGGCAAACACGAGTTTGAGAGCAAGACTAATGTAGGTGCCAGGCCCAGCTGCACCACTCACTGGCTGTGTGGCCTGGAACAAGTCACTCAACCTCTCTGAGTCCCAATTTTCTCATCTCCACAATGGGAACAACGTTGCTTCAATAACTGGATGATGCCATTATAATTAACCATGGGCCAAGGAGACTGCTTAGCAGGCCAGTAGAAAGAACGAGAAGAGAAGTGGACAAGCCACCTCTCATTCTCCAGAGAGCCTCCATTCCTCTGGCACCCACCAAGGGCAAACCACCGGGCTAGAGGTTTGTGTACAGTATTCGCAGAAAGTGATGGGTAGGCCTTTCACTGTTGCTAGTTTTCAGAAAAGAGAACTGAGGCTCAGTGAAGGGAGGCGACTTGCCCAAGTTCCATGGCAAAGTCTGGACTCAAACCCACATCCTCGAACTTTGGTGCCTCCAATTTGGCCTGGTGACCCTGCGGGGCAGGAGGAAGGGCTGAGCGCCGGGCAGGGCAGGGCTCATCCCACCCACACCCTGGCTGAGCCAGCCTCCCAGAAGGGAAAGACAGGGAAGAGAGAAGCAGGAAGGGAAGGAGGTGAGAATGGGCAGTGAGTGTAGAACATGGATGGACAGCAGGAAGGGCCTGCCGAGGGGCTGAGAGCTGGTTTGTCCTCTGCTCTGGACCCACAGCCACTTCATCTTCTGCCCCCATATCCATACTGGGCCTGCTCAGTTGCTGTGTGACCTCAGGCCAACCACTTAACCTCTCTGGCCATCCCTCTGCCCAGAAAAGCCAAAAACCCTGCCCCCTCCCTCCTACCCTTCCAGCCTTAGAGGCCTGAGGGAAAGAGAAGGGGGAGCCTGGCGAGCCAGCCCCTGGGCTCCTGGCACACAGCCACCCAGGAGAGTCATTAGCATCACGGTTTCCGCAGGACCTGCTCAGGAAGCAATTTAAGCTGCAAGAATTAGATCAAAGAAGCTGAAAGCAGGAGCCCAGAAATCAGCTCTAGCAATTCCAGTGTTCAGAGCCCGTGGGCCCAGGGAGGGGGAGCGAGCGGGCCGAGGTCATGCGGCCTGGCTGGGGGAGGATGAGGGTTTTGGCTGCCCTCCAGGCCACACGGCGGCCAAGGCTGCTGGGAGGGCTTGCTCCTGAGGAGGACAGAAGGGAGGTGGAGGCAGAGAGGGGAAAGCTCGGCTGGGCCAGGGCCTGGGAGAACCGGGGCCAGGCCTGGCTGGCTGAGGGTATGACCCAGATCAGCCATCTCTCCAGCCTCCCCCTGCCAGCCTGGCTGACCGTGGCCTCCTTATGCCGGGCTCTTCTGGTCCCGGCCTTTGCACAGGCTGCAGCTCATGCTCGCTGCCCTCCTGCACCCTCTGTCTGCCCCAAGGTCACCTCCCACTCCACCCACTGGGGCAACACCCCCATGGGGTCACAGAGTCACCAGCCTCTGAGCTTTGCTCTCTCCCTGTAGTTCCAGGCATAACCACTGAAGGCCACAGATAAACCAGAGTCAGGAAAGCCGGATTCCGAACCCCACGCCAACTCCATCTGGGCCTGAGCTTGGAGCCACGGCACTTCCTTCTGATGGTGTTTACACTGTATGTGAGCCAGGCACTAACAGGACAGTCCGAGCTTCCCAGCTGCCCACCAGCCTGCCCTCTTCCCTCTGCCCCTGCCAATTCCACCCCACCCCCACCATCCTCCACCCTGGGCCTAAGTTCCCGTGCTACGAGCTCCTTGCAGTTCCCTAAAGCTGCTTACCCAGGGCCTTTGCACACACTGTTCCTGCCACACCCGTACCTGGAGAACTCCTGGTCACCTCTCAGACTCAGCCCAAGTACCTCTCACCTGCCCCTGACCATGGTACTCCCTCTGCCTCCAGCGTCCTGGAACCCCTGTGACAACACCTGTTACATTGTACCCCATCTGCATATGACTTGTCAGTCTCCCAGCCCAGCCCAACCTCTCCAGGGCAGCACCCACGCCCAGCTCCTCCCTGTATTCCTAGTGTCCGACACTGGGGGGTGGATTCAGTAAATTGGTGTTGAATGAACCAACAAAGGTGATGCAGCAGGAATTTCTTCACGGTCGGGAAAAACAGGATCAGACGGCGGCAGGGACTCCCCAGGGGGATCAGCTTTCCGTGTCAGAGACACTGCTCTCAGGTCTCCTGATGGCCAGGGCCCACCTCTTCCCATCAGACCCGGCCTCTCTCTCCCCTTCCTTCCCTCTCCTGGTGGCTGGGTGCCAGCCGGTCCCCACACCCCCCGGTCGGGGGAGGTGCCACTGTAGCCCTGACGTCTCTGCCGCAGCCCAGCCCTGCTCCAGCTCCTGATGGAGACCTGGCAGAAACTTGGCTTTGGTTCCCCAACGTCTCCCCAGCTGTGCGACCCAGGACAGGCCACGTGACTTCTCTGGTCTGCGTGGTCCTTGTCTGGAAGTAAGAGATAATGTGCCAGGGCCTCTGGGAGGCTCAAATGAGACACTGCCGCAAAGAACAGCATTTTGTACACTGTCATGCACTGTGCCCCTGGGGGTGTCAATATCGACTCCTGGGGCACATCTACAATGTTTCCAGACCCCTGCCAGAAGGGGGGTTCCTGTCCCCAAGGAACATCACTGGCTAGTGTGGCCAACAGACACAAGGCAGATGGGATATGTGTCATTTCACAGGTTCCAGCAAGAGTGACGCCAGGAAGCCTCACAAAGGCCTGGCCCAGAAGTCAGCTGTCCTTTAAGAGAGAAAGGCCATTCCAGGCAGAGGGAAAGGCCCAAGCAGAGGAAAGTGCAAGGCAATGGAGACCCAGCCTGGCACAGCGGGGGCCGTGGACTGAGCATGCCAGGGCATCTGGGAGGCTCAAATGAGGCCACTGACCTGGCTCAGAACAAGGGCACAGGAATGCTTGCCAGGGAGCTCGGAGAACCCAGTCTTCAAGCAGGTCAGTCAGAGCTCAGTTTGAGACCTGAGTTGAGTTCCAACACTTAGTGCTGTGTATCCTTGGGTAAGTCACTAACCTCTCTGAGCTGTTATCAACTCTACCCAGCTTCAGCCTCTGAGGCGGCAGAGAAAGAAAGTAGCATCTGCCCTGGGCCTGCCCTAAGGGAGCTCTGTCTGCTCTGGCCTTAGAAATGGTGTGTACTTCCTTCTAGGAGGCCGTGGCCTAGCCTGCTGTCCCCCGGACCTGCTGGAGGTGGTGGGGACAGCCTGGCTGTGCACAGGGCAGAGTAAGGGCTCATCTTGCAAGAGGCCACACTGCAGGGGGTGACACCAATGAGCCTGGACGTCTCAGCCACCACTGCCAGGGAGAAACAGGAGAGAGAGTTTTAGTCCCATTTTGTGGCTAAGAACATCAAGGAACGTGTCCAAGATCTGCGGCCTGTGAGGCGGATCCCAAGCTTCCAGACTCCGTATCACACCAGGGCTCCCCAAAGCAGGGCCCAGGTTAGTACTGTGATCGTTTTCAGGGGTTCGCTGAGGTG